TCTACCATTTTTCGGATAACAATCTATTACACTTTTATCTTTGCATACCACTCAAATGTAAAATGCATAAATATGCTAGAATTACTTCCATTGATATTTAGGTGATGCCGTGATTTTGCGCCTAAAACAGGAAAGGGTTGCTCTCGCCGTGGCCGTGTGCGTCACAGGCGAGGCTTGAGGCGTGATCCTGTACCTGTGTGCCCCTCATGCCCCTTTCACTAGTATTTTGAAATGAAGATTTATACATATAAATCTTTATATTTATAAGTAATACGTGTTAAATAGAGTGCCCTGTGCTTGGTGCCGTCCAGCGTTACGGGACTTCCCTCTGCTTATTAATTTGGTATTATTTAAGTTATTAATAATATACTTATCAATTATGAAGTAAATTTTACAGTATTTTACTCCATACCTAAAAGCAAAAAAACCTATTAAAATATTAGTTCAAAAAAATATAAAAAGTTGTGTATGGAGACTGGGTACAGTCGCGGCAGGGTACGGTAGTGACAGTCATCATAACAGCTACAGTATACAGATGAATTACTATTTTGTTATTTTGGTGTAAGTTGAACAGTAGTAGTTATTTATCAGCAATTAGTTTTTGCTTGGATAATTGTAGTAATTATAGCTGATCAAAAAATAAGTGGCATAACCGTACCCACTTAAAAAATGTATTCATTAAAAAACTGATTTATTAAAAATCATATCTTTATACTTGTTAGTAGTAAACCTAATTTCAAAAATAATATATTTTAAACGCTTTAATATCATGTGCGTAAAAATAAATCTGTTATATTTATATTATTCATATTTTGGTCGATTTTTGGTATTTTTTTAATTTTCATGAATTTATTTATCACTGAAAAATAGTAGGCATATGGCAATATGTACTGTGTACTAAATAATTCCAAGTGGTAATTAACAAATATATTAATTAGGTAAAAATATATTTAATCTTGAGTAAAACAAGTATTCAGATTTTATGAATTTACCTTATTGCCACGTGTATAATGATTTTAATCAATATCAAAAACATAATTTTATGACCATTCAATGATTCGTTAAATGACTGATAAGCATTGTCGTAATTTGGGGCTAACACGTCAATTAGGAAAACGAATAAAAATACGTAGTGATATGCAGCACGTCAATGTAGTTGCTAATTATAATTGATATATAAAATTATAATATATATTTGTAACAATAGATAAAGAATAGAATGCTTGCGATAATATATCAATATCTATTTGCTGCCACTACAAATCTAATGCTCAGGTGCGTTTTCAAGAAAATTCTGGTACAAACTACAATAAGATATCTTGGATGCATTTTTTTCATTTCCATATTGATTGCAATCTCAAAATAATATTTACTAATTGCTTTGTTAGTTCTAACATGTTGCAATTAAAAGGCAGCCCAATGGTTGTCTTAACTATTTACGCACTTCATTATATCATTTTAGATTTTATGCTCTATGTTCTATGTTTTATAATTATAGTATCAAGTTAATTCTTACATCACTACAGCTTGATACCGGTTTCAGAACTTCAAAAGCTCTTTCTATTATTTCAAAAAAAATGCACCACTGCTATTACATAATTTTTATTTCATAAAGAATAACTAATTACAGATCTAATCTAATTTCCAATTACATGAACGTTTTAAGTGTTTTTGTTTTATTTATAAAACTTAACATCGTACGAATTTATGCATCGTGGATATTTTTTTGAAAACCTCTAATAATATAAATATTATCTTTTTATGTAAAACTTGGTTGCCAACATCTTTATAGATTAAAAGATGCTGTATATTCAAAATATTTACATTACGTTCATGGATTTTTCCTGAATATCAGTTTATCATATTTCTCAAAATTATCATTATTTATTATATAAAAAACGTTATCTTAAAATATAACATCCACATTTGCAAGCAAACAGTATGCGTATATAATCATATATTTATATGCATACATTGAAACACATACATATAAAAAGCGTGTTAAAAATTTCACTGTAGTTTTTCATATGCGGGCTCAAATATTGTTTTTGTATAAAAAACAATAAATATTATTACTAATTCTATGTTATTTATACACCATAAACTGCCTGCTGTAAGTCCCAAGTGGTTGTCAAAAGATAAGACGTATGAGGTTATCACAAGGATGATGTTCTTGTTTGAATTACACTTGAAAATTCCAAATAAGATAAGTGATAACGCTAGAAATTTCTGATTCTTTGTTCCAAAGTATACTAATTTACTAAATACGATATCTATAAAATGAATTTGCATTATACAAATACAATGCTAATGCGAACTTTATGTTTGCGGAAATGGAATCAGAATTGTTCAAGCGCCTTTGGTATTTACATTAAAATCATCTGATATCGGAAGCCAATACATACACTTTCAACAACATCAACAATGTATTAATAATATCGATGAGAATATACAGAATCCTGATGTGCAAATCAGTTTAAATCAAGTTTTCCGAAATTGTTTAGGCCATGACCAACTTCTAAAAAAAATGTCTCCATACATAAATTTTAACTTTTAAACAGTATTTTATTCTCTTAACGTATATAAATGCTAAGTATGATCTAGCTTTTAAAGTTGCACTTCTTGCGATATGTGCTCCACGTTGGAAAACACTTCTTTAAATTGTATTCTTACTTTAGATTTACTTCAATTTTTGTTCGCATCTCGGATATGTTTCAAGCAAGTTTCATCATATTCAAGATATATTAAAGAATCATCTTGTAACATTTTTCATTTTTATGTTTATGTTTTATTATCATAGTAGAATTTCTCGAATAAGAATTATTAATTTAATTTAATGCAGCAATTCCTAGGAAAGGCTTTTTTCTTTCACTTTCAAACATACTTAACATATATTTTCGAATTAAAACCAATATCACTACTGCTTGGTATCAAGATATGGGTAACAAATTTGAAATCTTATGTTTCAAAGCCTGACGCAGTCACAGAAAAACCAAAATATAATCCTAAAGGTTTCAATTTATCTTCAATATCCAATACTTGTTGGAAAAAACTAATCATAGTTCAAATTTTCAAACTTCGTACTTCTGTTAACATGGAGTACTTTTCTGCAGTACAACTTTTTCCTTTACTGTCCTAACATATTCAACGATTACATGATCATAAGCTGCACAGTGCCATCCTTAAATTTTAACCTCTCTTGAACCAAAGCTGCCCGCTGAGCGTGAAGAACAAGCGGACACTTTACGCTCCAGCATGGAGCGAGACTATAAAGACTAACCTACGGAGACTACAGACTGCACAAAACAAAGTTCTACGACTAGTAGTACTTAACAAATCAAGAGACCCACTGATAAGACACTATTACTCTACAAAATACTCGCTGGAAATTTCTGTCTCGGGTGCAAAAAACATGGTAACACTAAAATAATTGGCCATTATACTCGATAAATCGTTTGGTAGGCCAAACACGCCATGTCGGATTATATTTTGATCTGACACTGGCTCCTAATTTAACATAACTAAATAAATTAAAATACTGTTTGTCTTGTAATTTTTCTCCCTTTTTGTTATTTTATCATCTTCTTAAAACATTGCTATGTGTTTTTTCTGAGAAACTTAACAGTTTTTCTTTTTGTTGCAAGTATCTCATGTTCTCTAAATTATTTTAAATTTATTGCAATATTCATAAGAACTGGAAAAGTATAACACCTTAACATAGAAAATGCTGTATTACAATATATTGTATCCCACCCTACATAATGAAATAAAAGTTGTCTTGAAACTTGAAAAACAACTTGAACTTTAACACAATTCTTATTATCCAATTTATATTTAATTAAAAACATAAGTTTCAAAAGCAATTTTGACTTTCATATGGAAAATAGGCTCAAATTATAAACTTTCAATTTGATTTGCTAAACTTTTTGTTTATGCATAGTTTTATCACAAAACAAAGCAAAGATTGCTGTATACTATCATTACCTGACACCAAGTTGTGGAGACTTTCCCGTCGATCAGCCTCATATCGGAGACCCCAAGAGGGTAGAGTTGATCCCTATAGACATAATATCGCATGTAGAGCGGGACGGCGATCAGCAATCCCGGCAGCAGAGCGCTAAGTATGCACAAGCGCAAGGCGCGCAGCGGGCCACGTAGCGGTCGTTCGCCGCGCCATCGGCCGGGACTCCGGTACAAACCCGGAGTCACACCTGAAATCATTTCGAAAATTAATAGGTTAGAATTGAATGTGTCGAATTATATTTATATTTTTATATTGATTTATTGTTTGTCATACTATTTCATTATTAAGAACTTGCTCTAAACCACAAGACGTCTTTGCCTTATAATTTAGAGCTAATTTGTCTAATATTATATTCATGAGACATAATTGGCACTTAATATTTTATAATAATACATATCGAAACATTTTGTCGGATATATCAGAACGATCAGAGCAAACTTGGCATAGGGAAAGTACGGATAAAATGACACGGTGTTATGATTTTCAATGATATTTATTTATGATTCATTAACTACCAGTAACATAGCCTTTTACTTAAGTAGGGACTATAATAACATATTTATTGAAGAAATGCAAATAATTCAACTAATGCACTAATTACAAAACCCAGTTTGTTCATATCGTTCGGACAAAATGACATATAATGTAAGGACATACTGAGATATTTTTTTTTTAAATAATCATAAATAAATCGTTTGGTACTCTGGGACCTCAGCTTTGAGATATCAGCACCATAAGCCCCAAAAGAACAAATCATACACCGTAACCGTTTCTTATAATTAACTTCCCGTAGGGCAAGTTATAGTAATATAGTAATGGCAAAAAAAATCGAAAATGAAAATTTTTATATATCTTTACGTATCAAAACCTTCTGAACATTTTGGCATACCTTAGAAAAAATGGATGTATGTGTGTGTGCGTGTATGTGTGTGTGTTCGTGTATGTGTGTGTTCGGATACAAATTTTTGTCGACGAATTCGGGAACAGGATGAAGCGATTTGAATAATTCAAAAAACATTCAATTCGTATTGATAAGGAGACGTGCTGATTAGTTTTCGGCAACGGCTGGTCTAGCCTTCCAAAGATATGGGGCAAGAAGTGCCAAAAACGGTAACTCAGTTCTTAAGAGAACGGAGCGTCCGATTTGAATAATTCAAAAAACATTTTACTTTACTAAAAAAGTAAAAAAAAAATGCCATTTGGCGATCAAAAATGATCATTAGACGTATGCACATTAAATTATCAGATATTTTATAAAGATTTTAACAATAAGTATAAATTTTGTTTACATTCCTATGGGTTGCGTACCAATGTTTATCCGTTAGACGGCGACGCGGCGCTTACGCGCTTTGATATTTCGTCTCTATGCAGTTAAAGTAGTACGATTGCTTTGAAAAAAAGTTCAGAATTTCCAAAATATTTTAAAATAAATTTTTCTTCAAAAAGTTTTTTTTTGTCAAAAAAAAGTGAATTTATGTCAAAAATTTATAGTTTCACAACGAAAAAGAGGGTTTTGCAAAAAATGCAAGTCTTTTTATCTGTGGATCTTTTGGTCTGTTTTTAGAAATAGTTATAATGGATGTTAAAATCCAATAACTTTTGGCAGGTTTCAATTTTCTTTTTTCTTTGTCTTGAATGAACTAGCGTGTGTAGTGCTTGCAAAATAGTACCATGTCATTTTGCCCATTGTATAAGCAAATCACTTTTTCGAAATTGAACAATATTGAATAAATAATCAAAATTCCATCAAACGCTTTATAATTGCAAAAAAATTCATCAAAATCACTAGTACTGACAACAGTTTATTGATTTTAATAAAAATAATTACAACTAACAAAGTCATCACCATCAACTTAAAATTTTGAAGACGAGATACAACTGAGACAAGAAACTGGCGAATTTTCAAATTAGATCACTTTTAATTGTGATTATATATTTTAATTTGTTCTAGCAATGCATTAAAAACCCATTTTTATTTAAAATCATATTTAGGTATTTCAAATAAAAACCTATAAAGCTGTTTCATTTCAGGTTATTAGTCAAGAATAACACCTTTTGCTTGTTAGGTTAAAGCAAAAAGTACTCTCTATGTCTAAAGTTACCACGAAGCCACAGAAGAGCCTATTTGTAGAAATATTAAAAAAACTATATAATAATAAAATATCGCTTTAAATTTAAAATAAATTGAATTTTTAACGAAACAGAATCATATAAATATCCGCAGCGAGTTATTTATCTTTCTCATTGGAAAACTAAAAAATTAATTGAAAGTCCAAAAGATACGTTGAGTATGAAAATTCGGAACCACTCGCTAATTTCGGAATAAGTATGCATTTCGCGACATCCGAGTGGAGTGGGTTAATGTTTGAAAATGAAAATATGGAATAAAAATGTGTTATAAACATATGATTAGCAACATACTATTTTTATATATCTTAAAAAATGTTTGGATTTGAATTAAATTAAAAGCAAATTAAAAAGTTGTACTGGAAAGCCGTTTATCGTTTTATATTGTCAACGAATTGTAAAATAAATTATTTCTTTCACGCTTATTTTGCTAACGTTTACTTATTTTATATATGTGCATCCATTTAAGTAATGTAAAAGTTGTTACAAATTTTAAAAAATCGTTTATTTTGTACTAGATAATCGGCACGCACCAAAATCGTACAATCTTGGCACGAGTGCCCAAAACAATTTGCCAATTTCAATATAATTAATTATGAGTTGCTTAAATTTTATTACTGTTAGGTAGGTACTAAAGTTAAACCAGCCTGACAATTTTAATAATAAAGTCTATTAAAACCCTTCAGTTCAGAGCTCTAAACATGATATCTTTATATTAATATAATTAAAAAAAGATAATTATAATAAGTTATCAATTTCATCTTATCGCAATTAAATTACAACAGCCGAGACAATTTAAATTTAGCACATTTGAGATAATTTAAATAAGATAACATTTACTAGAATACCGTTTTTGAGATATATAAAAATATTATTAGATTTTAATTAGAGACAAGATAAACAATATTAGACATGAGTTAACAATTTGAATTGAAACAAAATGCATGTCTTTTTTCAAGTTTTTTAGGTCACAAACAATTTTAGTTTAGTTAGCACATATATTATTTTTTTGCTATAACTATTTCCGTTCAAAAGCTATTCGTATAATATCAATACAACAAACCTAATGATTATACTGTTTATATAGTATACTGAGAATAGAGTAAAATATTTGTACTGACTCATAAATAAATACTACTTGCAATTAAGCAAATAATGACTATATAATATTTAAATGTACTCATAATTAGTATGTTGATTTTTCGGCACTGATAACATAAAATTATCGTGTTTTTGTTTTACAAATTAAATTATCGCATTTAATGATAAGTAAAGAAATAAGATCAGACCGCTGTCAGTAAATAAGCAAAGCAAGAGTTAAGCATAGTAATTTTTTGCAAAAATAAGATTAACCGTGTGTAAAAATTTTTCCTTTAACGTGATTATCAATATCTTATATAACAATTTTTTTTAATAAACGATTTGAATTAAAGTATTCACTTTTTTCCATAAATTTAGCATTATTGGAATAGAAAATATATGTAAGTAGCTGAATAATAAAGGTAATCCCAATAAAAATAAAAATAAACTAGTGGTGTATGGCATTGTGCCTTAAGGTAAATTGCTGGTACTTCCCGTACCGTAATGAAATGTTCGAGGAATATTACATGTTTTCAAATAGATTATTATAAATACCGTAACATTGTCTAATATTTATAAGAATTATATAAACTTAAATACAAAGCTAAAATTATTTATTTAAAGTATATAAGTGAGCTTTAGAACTTTTGAAAAAAAAAATATTTTTTTCGAAAAGCAATTGTTTTGTCAACACAAGCAGACATTTTTTTGAATCATTCAAATCAGATGCTAAGTTCTCTCAAAAACTGTCTCTTCTAAATGGCTAGACCTGCCTCTGCCAAAAACTAATCAGCACATCTCCCTATCAATAGGAATCGAATGATCAGTTGATCAATGCGCCCGAAAACGTGGACGAAAAAATGCAGTCACACAAAACACACACACACACCTCTGAGGTATGCCAAAATTTTCGGAAATCTCGAAAACGTGAAGATGTGCAAAAAATTTAATTTTCGATTTTTGGCTCATTACCATAACTTACCCTGCGGAAAGTTAATTAAAGATGAATTAAATGTAAATTCCAATTAAATGAAAACTATTTGACCAGGTAAAGAGATCAGCAACTTAAATACTGCAAAATCAATTGTATCAAATTGAAAGCAATTACTATTAAAATATCAATAGCAAAAAAATTTCAGCTGAATATTTTTGTATGTTAGCAAACAAACGGACCAATAAATGTAAAACGTGTAATAAATGGTGTCGACAGATCAGTGGTAAGAACTTCGAACTTCCAATCACATGGTTCGAGGTCGATACCCACCTTCCAATATCAAACAAGTGATGTCCATTTTAACAGAAAATATAGATCTAAATTTCCAAGTAAAAATAACTCAAACCTGGTATTACTGCATCAAATTGAGATTATACCATAAGTATGAAAAAAAATCCAATAATAAAAATATATCAAATACAGATTTGGAATTGCCTTCTAAAAAGAGAAGTTGCACTTCTGAAGTTTCATCGCAACAGCTTATAGAACTGCCAAGTTCTGAAAAAAGTATCGATAGCTTATCATTCAGACTATTAAAGTCCTTGAAAATTCTATAGAAACCAATTCTGTGCTTCCTTGACTCATTTTAGATGAACTTCTAAGCTTCGATTTGTAAAGTTCATCACAAAAATAACAACTATCAATAGAACACATGTAATTGAAGTATGTGAATTTTATTTACGCGAAGTAATACGAGATAAAAGCATTATCAAAAATATGTTCTATTGTTGGATACGTGAATACATTGTATTGTTTGCCGAGCGCACGTGTAGAAATTGCGCAGAGCTGCCAAATTATTTGAACTGTCGTTAGAAAAAGTATATTACGGGTCAACAGTAATTTATGATACGCCCATGAATAGCCAGAGGTAGTAAACCCTCGTACATATAAATAAAATTATAATTGGTTGATTAATAAAAATGGCTATCACAAATTGCCGTTCAAAAATCCGCAATAGAAGATATTTTAACCTCAATATGCATAAA